AAGTACCACAGAGTACATAGGTGCCTGAGCAGAGAAAAAGGAAGATAAACTTAAATGATTAATAAAAACGAAAGTTAAACGAATTTATGACACCGCATTAATGCCAAAATAGTGAGATGAAGCTCTGAGAAATATAGTTGATGCTATAGGAAAATAAAGTCCACTCGCTACAGACTCAGGAAATATTCAAATAAAAAGTTGAAAACGAGATAAAAACAGAAAGGTGGGTGTTCTAAATAATTATTACCATAGGACTGTGAATGATTAGAATATTGAGTTAATCTGGTTTATGTATGAGAAACTAGTAACATATCATATTAAAAAATAACATGAGTACATATTAGTCAGATAAATTGCACGACGTGATGGGCAACTAAATATTTTATTGGCCACAAGAATTTCTTTAAACGTAGAGAATTCAGTAAGACAGACAGTAAAGACTTACGGCAATAATTCCTCAGAACGGTCTCTATGTGCTTAGTTTGGTAGCGGCCACGCATGAGAAGAGCTCTGTTGGCATCCAATGAACCAGTTGTACCTAGCTCAGTAAGAAGATAACTAGAAAGATGGGCAGGATCTCGCTTCAATTGCTGAGCAATAGATGTAAAGTTAACAAAAGATGTCTTCTTAGAGCCAATACGGGCAAGTTGGGGAAGAAGCATGACAAGACGCCGTTTTCTGTCAGAAATCAGTTCAGGATTTTTCATAGTTATCTCTTTGAAAACGCGCTGCAGAAGCTGCCAAATAATTCGCACAATAAATAGGTAAAACACAAAAGTTACACAAGTAGGAAAAGTAAGCGCAATAGAATGCATTATAAGTCGGAAAAAGCTAAAGATACAAATACATTATTAGTAAGAATGTCTAAAATCGGAGTTTAACGACCATTTTGAGGATTGGCATACGATAACTGACCCATTCATAATTGTAAACGCCAGTTTCGGAAGGATCTTTGGAGTCTAAATCAGCCGGCAGTTGAATGGAAGATTTTTCAATCACGGATAGGTCTGCTTCGGGCAAGACGGGCTTCTTACGTTTCTTCTGACCAAATTCTAAGTCTGCGCTAATGTCCTCAGCTAATCTATCAACTTCCTCAGATATATTAACTTTCTTCGCCTTCTTTTTCTTTTTTCCTTCTAGATTGAGCTTTAATGGGTTAAAAATAAACAAAAAATACCTCGGAACCATCATCTTCTGGGTCCCGCTTTTCAATGACTTGCGGATCAGGCTTATCAATGGCTTCAGGCTGAGGTTTAAGCTCAGTTGGCTTTAAATCATTAGGAATAGTCTTTTTTTTCTTTTTCTTTTTGTCGAAGTCCAAAATGTCATTCTAAAGAAGTGAAGGAGACCCGGTAAACGGTAAAATAAAAATTAACCTTGACAACATCAGTCATAATTCCCGACGAGCGTGCGCAGGCAAAGAATTTGGCGGGCGATGCAAAAATAACTGAATGTAAAAACGCCATACAAAATATATTGAAATATTCGTTGCTTTATGTTTGTAAAGTCGAATTTTTATTTTACTTTAAAAAGGTATTTAAACATATACAATTCTAAAGGACGAAGCCCTTGAATAGAGATCTTCTGATTAGTAGTATAAATCTAATTGCCTAGTGTAGTTAATTCCTAAAAAACATTATAAATGAATGTAAACATATAATAACAATATAATATTTGTTTACTTTGTACTCGATTCTCATATGAAGAAAATCCTGATCTTTATTCGTATAATGTTAATTTTCCTTTAATAATGGACTTCAAAATGCTTAGTAAGATGTATAGTTAATTAATTTTTAATTTAGTATAAGAGTAGTAAATACGTAGACAAATTTTCGAATTATATTAACAAAAGAGCAAACAATTACATGTCTTTACTAGGGTTAGCGATACTAAGTTTGGAAGCGGTCTCTACAAAAAAGAGAATAGGATGGATTTTTCTGAATTTTTTAAACATTTATAGTTATTAGACTAATGTTATAAAAGTAATGTCTCTGATTTATTATGAAAAGCTGGATTTCGAAGAATCTTCTAGTAGATTGATACTGGCATATCTTTAATTTCGTTTAAGATGACTGGTGGAACGGAATCATTATTTAGCAGCATCGGATACCGAAGGACAGTTGCCTTGGACTTTTGCCCTTTGAAGTATGTGAAGAAGACCTTAGTTCACCGTCCTACGACTCCGATGACTCCGTGCTAAACTTTCGTCCGTCATGTGATCGACATCGTCAGAGCCAAAATCCATGACTCACGAACACTCACAAAAACACTAAACATAGGAAGATGGACAACTGAGATTCTACTTACTTCAGCTTGATATCATAACGAGGCATCTCATGATTTGGTTGGCTAATTCATGCTTGTACTACATGCTTGTAAGCAAGTCAAAGGGATGCGGAAAGGGGAGCGGATATGGTCACAACTTTTGTCTATATAAATAAATAGCGCATGATCATGTAATAATAAGGGTAGTTTTGGCTTAGTGGATGTGTGTTAGTTGTGTTTATGCAACAACAACACACCAGATAAAGGGGCATAAATTTCAAAGTTTTGCTGGATATCTGGACTGAACAGTTAAATGGAAGATCAAATAGTCGATTGAAATTAACAAAACAGATAACATCCTGAATGAGAGCGTAGGAAACTAATTAAAAATTATCTCTGGCTACTGAATAGAATTATATAAAGAGAAAGAGAGGGAGAAAGAAAGGGGAAGGGAAGAGATACTGAGTAAAAGGAGACGACTTGACAGAGCTGGACTCTGGTTTCGAACACCAAATTGTCATCAAACTCATGAATCTTGTATACAAATGCGCACACATCCACGAATCTAAAACACTTCTAAGGATTACAGGAACATACGCTAGTATATTTACATAGACAAAAGTTGTGACCCAATCCGCTCCTCTTATTGCATCATTTCACTAGCTTACATGCATGTAGGTCAAGCATTAAGTAGCCATTCAAATCATGAAATACCTTATTAGGTATGCAAAGTGAGATGTAATAAGTAAGTAGAATATCAGCTGGATAATTCTCTTGGCTTATGTTCTTTTGGCGATTGTTCGTGAATAATTGTTTCTGGCTCTGACGATGTCCGCCACATGACGGATGAAATCTAAGCACTGTGAGCTTAGGTCTTCTTCTCACGATGTAACTTAAAATGTCCAAGGCAACCGTACTTCGGTATCCGTTGAGGCCAACCCACGAATATCTTCCACCCGTCTTAAAAAACGAAATGAAAGAAATGCTAATATAAGTCTACAAAGGGCTTCTTCAAAACCCAGCTTCTTTTCATATCATGAAATACGTGCAGATATCACTGTTTTAGAAACCCATCACTTTGCATTAATATCAAGAGACTAATGGCAAGGCAAGTCAATCACATTAGTTATGAAAGTATGCTCTTCGCTTAATATTATTTTCAAGTTTTATGTACTTGCCGAACCGAATTTCTAAATAAAAACTGAGAGTGATCTTATAAAAATAACTCATGGTTTGGTTAAAGAAAGTTTCTTCAAAACATGTCATGGTTACAGAATTTGGGCAGAACAAAATCCAGAATCAGGCAATCTTTGTTCGAAACTCTCAGTTCGGGGGATTTCCTGAAGCTTCAATCGATGGATAACACATTATATGATATAATATTGCATAAAAAACCTAAGATTTTAGGTATTAGAATAAGAAAACCTTCACAAGAGAAGAGAAAATGAAGATAAGTCGGAAGGTGGTTAACCTGTGCAAAATATCATTGGACAGTTCTACCGAAGGATTCCTATTTAGAGGTCTTACTTATGCTCAGCTAAATAATAAGAGTTTATCTAAAGAGATTTTGATGAAACGTATTAACTTTACTGACCGATTAGTAGAAGAAACTAGAAATGGGATTGAAATACAGGGTGTTACTCTAATTGATTACCATGTAGAAGCACGAAATTGGAATGTGTGGGTTAATAATATAATTAATAAGTTAAGACAACACGAAAAATAGTTTTGATAACAAGTAAATGAGTAGCCTTTGTTGTTATGAATAGGGCAGATTATAAAAAAAGATGATTGGCTGATTTTGATACGTATAGAATTATAACTAAGGAACCGGCAGAAACGCTAAAGTCGAGAACAAGAAGATTTGTTTGTGCGATTTGATGTAGTATCGATGTATACGAATATGCCGGTAAGTGGGTCCATACAGGGCTTAAGATTAACATTAGATATACACCCAGAGATTATATCAGGAAATAAGATAGGCAAGAAGTCAATCATGTGATTGAAAAGCTTAATAAGGAATAGTAAATATTTTACCTTCAATGGCAAATTATACGAACAAACCGGAGGTATTGCTATGCGAACATGTTTGTCTCCGGTTTTAGCTAATAACTGCATGTTTCAATTGGACGTCCGGGATTTTCGAGAGTCACTCCTTATTCCGAAACTACTAGCAGGATTTATGAATGATTGCATTGCTATCTGGTAGC